CTTTGTAAAATGCTGTCTTAATTCCATAAGTAATTTCTAACATGTAAATGCAAGTATCACAATTATTTTATATATTACTGACTACTGAATTAACAAAGATATTATATTCAGTGACTGATTTGCAGTTTCCAAAATAAAGAGGGAAGAAACAAAATGAACCCCATTTATTGCCTGGAGGGGTATTTCAGATCTGTACAGATCTGTTTACTCTTTGTCTGTTATCAATACCCAATGTCTATTACCAAATCAAAATTCTTAGGCCTGCCAAGAAATAGAAAATTGTAACATATAATCAAAAGGAAATCAGGTCAATAGAAAGAGATCCAAAATGAAAAGAGATGACAAACTTAAACATCTATTATTCATATGTTGGTTATGCTCAGCAGTTTAAAGAAAAATGTGGCATAAATGAAAGATATTAAAAAGGACTAAATGGAACTTTTAGAACTGGAAAATACCTGAAAGTTTGATTTTCACCAAGTGATAGTAACAGTATATTTGGTGTAAAAAAAGAAGTCACTAAAATTTAAGATATAGTGACGATAGCAATAGAAAATAGTTCAAACTGAAGCAAAATGGAAAATGATTAGCTCCTTGCTGAATTGTGAGATAATATCAAGTGATCTAACATATGAATAATTAGGAATGTCTGAATGCAGTAGGATGGGAGTAAAAAAAATTCCCAAAATGTTTCCAATTTGGTGAACATGAATCCCACAAATCCAGAAATTTTAATAAACACCAAGGAAGATAAAGACCAGACCTTACCAAAGTACCTGATAGTCAAACTACTGAAAAACACCAAAAAGGGAAAGGAAACACCATGGGAGACTGGGGTATATCATCATCAGAAAACAAGTAAACCAGGATGACATATTTAAAGGAAAAAGTCAACTTAAGTTTTATATGGAGAAAAGATATCCTTCAAAACTGAAAGGAAAAATGCAGAATATTTTCTCCAGAAAAGAAGATCCATAAAAAAAAAAACCATATCACTAGCAGACTTGCAGGATAAAGTTCTTTAGGCAGAAGGAAAATGATATCAGATAAATTTTTGGATCTTCATGAAACAATGAAGAGCTCTGGAAATGACACATATATGTGTAAATATGAAAGGATTCCAATTTTTAATTTATAAAATAATTGACTGTTTTAAGCAAAACTAACATTTTGGTATTAATAACATGCAGTGATAAAAATATATGGCAACAATAAGGGGTGGGAGAGGGCTAATGGAAATACAATTCCTTGAAAGCTTATATTTTACACAAAAAAGTTTATTGTTTAAAGGGAGACTCAGATGTTAAGGATACATACTGTAAATACTAGAGAAACTGACACATACACAAAGAGATATAGCTACTTGTGAAGATAAATATGGAATGCTGAAAATTCATCCAAAGAAGAAGAAAAAAAGAACAGATTTGAAAATAAAACAAATGGCAAGATGATCGATCCCAAACTGATCAATAGCTACATTAAATGCAAATGGCCTAAACACTCCAACTAAAAGGAAGTAGTGAGAATTGTGAAGGATTTTCAATTTTATTTCTGCAATATAACAGGTTAGACTACCATACTTTTATAGACGCTGGCAGAAAACAAAGGACTTTGTTACTTCAAGTGCATGCTTACATTGGTTTCCTTTGACTCCCAAGCCCCATGGAGGGGCAGGTAGGCCCAGGTGGATGCTGTGCATACAGTGGGTTTGTATCACAGCTAAGGAAGCCCCAATCTTCTATAAGGGGTTACTAGCAAACCTACCCAACTTTTGCTCTGGAGGAGACACAATCTCTATTACGCTAAACAGCAAACAAACCTGCCCCAGAGGAGAATATATCTTCCAAGTTTGCTTATTGTACAAACATCCTTGAAAAGACAGTCTAGAATAAAAAATATTAAAACCTTTGCTTACAAAACAGAAACATGAAAGACCTATAGAAAAATTTCCCCCAACAGACAGAGACTGTCAAACTGGATTTTTGAAATGCAAAAAGAACTATAGACTATTTGAAACACATTTTGATATAAATATTAATAGGTTTAAAAATTAAATATATAAAATGAAAACAAAAATCTTAAGAAAACTAAAAGGCTATATTCAAAACATAAGTTGGTTGTCTGAACAAGTCATATTATTGGAGCTCGATGAACATTTTATAGTGATAAAATGTTCACACAAAATAATAATCATAAACATATGTACTCAATAACAGCATCAAAATATGTTAAGCAAAAACTGGACTGGAAGAATTCAAAGAACAGACAAATCCATAATTATAACTGAAATAGAAACATTCCTCTCTTAGAAATGGATGAGAAAATCAAATGACATTACCAGCCAATTATCTTACTGATATTTAAAGTATACCCCAATATAAACAGAACACATATACTTTTAAAGTACACCATGAGACAATAAAATAGACCATCTACTGGGCCATAAAGTAACTCTAGGTGAATTTCATAGGATTGAAGTGATAATATGTACTTTGGTCACACACACACACACACACACACACACACACACACAATCAAAATCATTTTAGAATTATATAGAATATAAACTTTCCATAAAGTGGACAAAAGATTTTAACTATTTCTAAAAAGATATTCAAATAGCCAAGATGTACATGAAAATGTGGGAAATGCAAATTAACACCACTCTACACCCATTTGAATTTGTGGAACTTAAAAAGCTGATGGTACCAAAAAAAAAAGCTGCCGGTACCAACTTTGGCTAGAATAAGAAGCAATTGGTACTTTCTTACTTATATCATTGCTATGGAAATGGCAAAAGCACTGTAACTTACAAAAAAAATTCCTAACAGTTTTCCATTCATGTGAAATATGACCCAGTTATTCCACTCAGTTGTTCACTGAAGAGAAATAAACATGTTCACACAAAGAATTGTACATGACTATATAGAGCGTTGTTCATAACAGCCTGAAAGTGCAAACAGCCCATTAAGTCCACGGATAAAAAAATTGATTTTTCAAATGTTGTATATCAGACCACCTGGGTGGCTCAGTTGGTTAAGCACTGGCTTTTGGTTTAGGCCTGGGTCATGATTTTGGAGTTATGGGATCCAGCCCCGCATTGGGCCCTGTTCTCAGCATGGAGTCTGCTTGGGATTCTCTCTCTTCCTCTCCCTACCCCACCCCCCGCCCCGCTCCCATTCTCTCTCCCTCAAGTAAATTAAAAAATCTTCAAAAAAAAACTAAAAATAAAATGTATAGTTACTTATCTGATGAGCATGGAGTACTGTATAGAATTACCAAATCACTATATTGTACACTATAGAAACCAATACTGTTTGTTAATATGCTGGATTTAGGAACTTACAATTACACAGATGAACTTAAAAACTTTATTTTAATGGAAAGATAAAGCACACATGATATTCCATTTATCTGGAACTCTAGAAATATAATCAACCTATAGAGATAGAAAGCAATCAGTGTTCATGGAAAATGGGAATATATGGGGAAATAAATGGGAAATAAACAAATGGGAAAATATCCCATGTTCAAAGATCAGCATTAATATTGTTAAAATGTCCATACTACCAAAAGCAATCTACAAATACAATGCAATCCCTCTCAAAATTCCAATGTCATTTTTCACAGAAATAGAAAAACATCCTAAAATTTGTATAGAACCACAAAGAATCTGAATTACCAAAGCAATCTTAAGAACAAGGCTAGAATCATCACATTTCCTAATTTCAAACTATATTACCAAGCTATTAGAATCAAAGTTCAGTTTGGCATAAAAACAGACATAAACATCAACGGAGCAGAACAGAAAACCCAGAGATAAATGCACATACATATGTTCAGTTAATTTTTGACAAAGGATCCTAGAAGACACAATGGGAAAAGGGTAGCCTCTTCAAGAAAAGTTGGAAAAACTTCGCAGACACATGCAAAAGAACAGAAATGGACTTCTTAACACCATACACAAAAATCAAGTCAAATGGATTAAAAACTTGAACATAAGACCTGAAACCATAAAACTAGAAGAAAACATAAGCAGTAAGCTCCTTGACATTGGTCTTAGTGATATTTTGGATTTGACAACAACAGCAAAGGCAACAAGAGCAAAATTAAACAAGTGGGTCTACATCAAACTAAAAAACCTTCTGCACAGCAAAGGAAACTACGAACAAAATGAAAAGGCTACCTATGGAATGGGAGAAAACATTTGTAAATTACGTATCCGATAATGGGTTAATATCTAAAATATACAAGTAAATCCTACAACTCAAGAGCAAAAAAAAAAAAACAAATGACCAATTTTTAAAAATGGTCAAAGAACCTAAATGGACTGAAATGGTGCTCAACATCAATTATCAGGGAAATGCAAATCAAAACCACAATGAGGTCACACCTGCTATGATGTCTATTTCCAAAAAGACCAGATAATTGCTGGCAAGGATGTGGAGAAAAGGGAACCCGGTGTGCAATTGCTGGAACTGTCAACTGGTAAAGCCACCATGGAAAATATGGAGAATCCTTAGAAACTAAAATTAAAACTACCATATATATGATTCAGGAATCCCATTTTTGGGTATAAGGTCAAAAGGAAGAGAGCATTATCATAAAAAGATGTCTGTAACCCCATGTTAACTGCAGTTATTACAATAGCAACGTAGGGAAACAACTTAATGTGTCCACTGACAAATGAATAAATACAATACGGTATATCTATTTCTCTCTCCCCATCTCTCTCTCTGCCCCAAAGCAGCAGGCTTTTCCTCACAGGGAGGCCTTGTTTGCCTGCCTGGGACCGGCCGGGCGCTGTAGGGCTGCGCTGGGCAGGGCTGGGCGCGGTGGGGAGTCTCCTCTTGAGGGAGGTGGTGCGAGGCAGAGGCGGGGCGGAGAGATGAAGGGGCGGAGCCTCAGAAGGGGGTGGAGCGGGGAGGAGCCGGGGGCGGGGCGGGGCGTTGCCGCAGAGGGGCGGGGCGGAGCGGAGCCGACGCGCAGGTCCCGGGTGGGGGCGGGACGAGCGCTGCGAACCTGGGAAGCCAATCTGACCGCGCAGTTGGCACTGCCGGGTCTGGGGCGGGCCCAGAAAAGGACCCCCAGCCGCGCTCCCGATGGGGCTGTGTTTTCCCTGTCCGGGGGAGACCGCGCCTCCCTCGCCGGACCTGGTGAGTAAGGCAGCGTCCCATGTCCCCCGTTCCCTTGTGGCCGACCCGCGCCGTGCGCACCTGTTCTCCGGAGGGGCGCGCCAGGAGGCCCCGCGCTGTGGGCACCGGGGCCGTTGGAAGCGGGGGCGCAGGCTGAAGAGCTAGCCGCTGGTGGGTGTCAGGTGGCGAAGACATGTGTGTGGACGCGCTCCGAGGGACTTCGGGTCAGGCGGCGGGACCTGAGCCGCCGCGGCCGCCGCCGCCGCCTCCGAGTCGCACTCTCCACTTCCGTTACAAAAAATTGCCCACAGGCGGCACCACGGTGTTTACCTTTCGCAGACTTAGGCGAAATTGGGAGCTCGTAAGACGCAGGCGTACGCAGACGGTGCGGTGTACGGGCCATTCTTGGCGGTGCGGTGGATGGAGTCAGGGTGCGAAAAGAGTTCCTCACTTCGTCTCCCGACGTGTTTAACCTTCTAGGAGATGGGCGTTTTCCCGTGTCTGTACCAACTGTTTAAAGAAGGTGCTCAATAAAGTCTCTTACGCTCCTCCTGTGCTTTATTGGATATCCTAGTAATCGATGATTTCCCGTTACTATTTCTCTCTTTCAAGTTCTTCCTTTTAAAAGAATACGGATTTTACATAGTAAAGAGGGTACAATTTGTAATCCATGTTTAGCAAATAAAAATGCAGGGTCCCCACTATTTTTAAGTTACTTAAATTAGAATTTTTAGATAAATTTTAGATAAAAAAGAATACATTTAAAAAAAATAGATGTGCCTCATGTAATATTTGGGGCACACTTACACTAGAAATTAGTCATTGTCTAGATGAAATTCCTACTTAAGTAGGTGGTTGGTGGTACAATCCATTTATACTTTTTGTAGCTTTCTATTTACAACAGTATCTTTACATTAGTAGTCCTTACAGGTTGTTGATAACAGAAAAGCTGAATTCCTCTGTTCTCCTATCTGAAAATTCGTTGAAGGAACTGAGTTGTTGAGGGAAGTACATTAACTCTTCAGCCATTTGATTATGGGTACTAAAAATGACCTGGAAGTCGATATGGGAAAATTTACCTGGTCTTTCTTGTATGGTTATTTTTAAATGTTGTTAACTTTGTTTATATGGCTGTTAATAAAATACCAATATACTAGCATTTGTTAAGCCCTGCCCCTCATCGCCACAGATAAACACATGGCTCACTACTTGAATGTCACTTTATCTTTGGAGATTATTAAGGACCACCCTAACTAAAATAGATCCCCTACTACACCACCCACTCATCCTTCCATTTCTTATCCACCGTACTCATCTTTATATTTTCTCGAAGCACTTACTACTATTTAACAGACATGTATTTACTTGATTATATTTACCTGAGTCCCCCTCATAGGAATGTAAGTTCCATGTGTATGGAAATGTTTGTCTGTGTTTTTTCATTACTGCAACCTCAGCACCTAGAAAAGTTCCTGAGGCATGATAACTACTCAGTAACTATTTGTCCAGTGGATGAATGAATGTATGTATTGTGGTATGAAAAACAAAGGAGCTATTAACACAGCTGCCAAGAGAATTGTTTACTGTCTTATGTATTTAAAGAACTTATAACTTATAATTGTTAATAGTAGCAATACATGGTATAAAAGCAGTATCCACTGTTTCCCAACATGGAGCAGTACCTCTTACAAATTCCCTTCAGGGCTTCATGTCCTACACAATGAGATTTAGCCCATTTCATTCATGAACATTTCCTGAAAATACCAGCCTACTTCAAACCACATATTTCCTTCCTTTGCCTTACTAAATGTCATTTGTTGTATTATTGCCCTGACTAGCTTGTAAGACCTTTAAAAGAAAAAAAAGCAAATTAATTATTTTATAGGCTAACCTGAATATGTATATATGCATATGTAATACATATTATATATATGTGTCTTATCTTGTGCTTATTTGAAGACCTATCGATTAGAAGAACGAAATTCAGGAAGTTAAGTATTTCACAAACATTGTAAATAGTGGCAGTCTTAGTGGGACATTTTGAACAAGTACTAAATATTTTTGTAAATCGGTTATATTATCTCTAAGATATAAATTATCCATGATAATGTTTCATTTTATTTTAAAACATTTTTTTGACACGTTTTCTTTAGGAAGAGAAAAGAGCAAAGCTTGCAGAGGCTGCAGAGAGAAGACAGAAAGAGGTAAGAGTAGAAATAAAATTCTGCTCGTGTAGATAATTGGGTACTTCATTCTATTTATTACTAGCATTGCTAAAGAAAATGGTGTCTGATAACCTGTAAATTTACATGTAATCATTTTTCAAAATGATTTCTATATTTCTATAGGTTATATTAATGCAGTTATATCATTTAATGCATGAAAATTATAGATGTCTTCTGTAATGTGAGATGCTCCTTTAATAACTTTCTTCCTTGGGATTTTATGATGATGCCTTATAAAACACTGACAGATGTGAAATTTAGGGAAAAAATACCCAATGAAGAAATGATAATATGTTTTATATAAAGCTGTTATAGAAATAGTCTTGTTCTTTATAACCAAAGATAAAACCCCTCACCTCCAAAGAAAAACCTAAAAAGCAACAAACACCTTTTGGATACTGAATACTGATTTTTGTTGTTTTTCTGTACCACTTAATAAATTTTCTAAAGGCTGCATCTCGGGGCATTCTGGATGTTCGGTCTGTAGAAGAAAAGAGAAAGAAAAAGGAAAAACTAGAAAAACAAATGGCTGAATCCAGGCCCCCACCAGAAGGTGGACTTAGGGTAAGTATTAAAATTTACTAAAGGCTTAATTTACCTGGAGTTTTTAAAACCTTCAGTAACAGTCTATTGAGTAATTCCCTCTTGCAATGGATTATCAGGAAGTTTTGAATAAATTTAAAAGCATGAAAAGTAGAGATTGGGAGAAGTGCCAATTTATTTGGACATTCCAACATTCATTGTAATAGATTTGCCTTCTTTTTCCCAGAAGGAAAATAGATTGTTTTTCCAGATTATCTTGACACTACATCTTAGTATTTTATATTCATATAATTAATACTAATACATCAGAAACTTAATATGAGGAGTATAATGAAGAACATAAAAATCACCTCAATTCTGTGTCATTTTGACAGACATCATTTCTAATATCCATTTATTCATTAATCTTATTAAATTGGATTATACTATGGATTCTCTTTTTTATATATAACCTATATTTTTCACTCAGTGATTTGAAGTTTTTGAGTTTTCTATTGTCAGTCATTATCATGGTTAAGTAAATTAGACAGTAGGGTGTATGGGAGGGTGGGGAGTGTAATACATGTACCTCATACCTCCCAATGTAGCAATTGCAGTTCTTGACACTGGAAATATAATGATGGACAAGTTAAACAGGTCCCAGAACTTGGGGATCTTTATTGTCTGCCAAACTATAAAGTTTTTATTTTACACATTAAAGTTCAAGAAAATATTTGTTCAGATATTAAGATTTTATTCTTTGATCCATTTTTAAAGAAAATAAATTTCTTAAGTATATTTGTGAAAATCAATATCCCAAATTTTAGTTGTTTATATTTAACTTGTCAATGATTTATTAGCACTTATTTTGCTGATTTCCTGTCTTCTCAATGGTTTGCTTTTTTTAAATTTTATTTTATTTTTTAATTTTATTTATTTATTTATTTAAGTTTATTTGACAGATCACAAGTAGGCAGAGAGGCAGGCAGAGAGAGAGGAAGAAGCAGTCTCCCTGCTGAGCAAAGAGCCCGATGCAGGGCTCGATCCCAGGACCCTGGGATCATGACCTGAGCCGAAGGCAGAGGCTTTAACACACTGAGCCACCCAGGCGCCCCTTATTTTATTTTTTTATATCTAGTTAATATACAATGTTGCCTCAGTTTCAGTGTACCACATAGTGATGCAACTTCTTGACGCATTTTGCTATGCTCACTTCAAGTGTAGCTACCCTATCACCATACAACACTATCACAATACTACTGACTTTTTTTTTTTTCTCCTAAAACTATATCTATAAATACATACATGTATATATCCTCCTAACTGTGGAGCAGGCCACTTAGGAGCCTCCTGATCAGAGGTGATTCTGGCTCAGTGCTATAACATAGAAATAAGATTTATCTGTGTGTGTTTCATCATTGTATATTCATCTAATTTTTTTAATAAGTGAAATTAATAGAAAACAAATTTTTTATTAATTTTTAACAATGTATAGATTAATTGGTTTCAGTGGTAAGGTAAATAACTGTGACCATTGTGCTTATATTTTTTTATATACTTCTACAATAGAGTAGAATAAATCTACCGTAAAGTAAAATAGTTGGTTGATACAAAGTCAAATATTTATCAGAAGTATAGAAGTTTAATTATTCCACTGAGATATAGGTCTCTGCTACTTGGTTTACTTTATGGAAGTTTCTCAAAAACAAACAAAAAAATTATGAAAAATTGTAGGACTGGAAATGATGCTGAGGTACTGAGCAGCAATTAAAATCACATACAAGGTTATAAGAAAATGATACTTACATATAGCCAGAATTAAGAAGGTACTTATTTAACATATTCTAACCTAACCAGTTTCACATCAGCTTTTAAACTCTGGGAAAGAAAGAAACTTTCTGAACTGAACTTGAAGCATAGCCTGAAACCTATACATTAGAAATAAATTGGGCCATGTACTGCTTCTGGTCCCTTCAGAAGGACTCAGAGTTAGAATCATCCCAATTTTAAATTAAGTACCTGTTTTTCTTTGTGTACTGTTCTTACAATAGAGCTCTCTGGTTCTGTTAATAAAAATCACCCTCAAGGCCATCAGAGTTGGACAGTCGCTCATTCTGATAAACCACAACTGTTGCACACTGTGTCATTTTCCTTTGGAATATTCCTAAGCACTTCTACCGTAAATACATTAGCTTTAAGGGACATGCTCCTTTCTCCTTGACCACCTATGTAGATCATCAAAAGAATACAGTGAAGTTCAAAATCCATTTTTAGAGGCTCAGAACTAACAGAAGGGGGAACATAAGGCAGAGTGTGACTTTAATTTTCAACCCTTCTTGGCCTAGGGGCCTGTAAAGACCGCTGCCAGGCCTGTTCTACAGACTGGCCTGGAGCGTCCTATTATGTAGCTAGATTCTTCCTAACCGGACTCCATAGCTTGAAGAAAACATGTCCTTTCCCTGTGTTCATGAACACTACATCTTCATCTCCTGACTAGCTCTGCCTAGGATAATTGGCATTGGCAATGCTCAGTATCTTCTGGAAAGGCAGCTTTATTTTTTTTAATCTTTTTAATTTCTTTGTATTGATATACAATGTTACATTAGTTTCAGGTATACAACATAGTGATCCACAAGTCCATCCATTATGCTATGCTCACAAGTGTAGCTGCATCTTTCATAACCCTGTTACAGTACCATTGACTGTATTCTCCAAGCTCTACCCTATACCCCATGACTTATTCATTCCATAAGTGGAAACCTATATCTCCCACTACCCTTCACCCATTTTGCCCATCCTCCCACCAGCAATCATCAGTTTGTTCTCTGTATTTATGACTCTGTTTCTGCTTTTTTAAATTTTTTTTTGTTTTTTAGATTCCACATGTAAGTGAGATCATATGGTATTTTTCTTTCTCTGACTTATTTCACTTAGCTTAATACCCTCTCATTCCATCCATGTTGTTGCAAATGGCAAGACCTCATCCTTTTTTTGATGGCTGAGTAATACTCCCTATTGTGTGGAGGGGAAGGGCACACACAGTACACCTTCTTTATCCATTCATCTATCGATGGCCACTTAGATTGCTTCCATATCTTGGTTATTGTAAAGAATGTTGTGATAAACATACAGGTACATAGATCTCTTCAAATTAGTGTTTTCATTTTCTTTGGGTAAATACCCAGTAGTGGAAATACCCGATCAAACAGTATTTCTATTTTTAATTTTTGAGGATCCTGCCCCCATACTGTCTTCCATAGTGGCAACGCAGCCTTATTTTAAGAAGTGAGTGTGGTGCTGACATCCGGGTGCACACTAATATCAGTACAGGATATAACAGTACAGGAGCAGTGCATGTACTCTCATGCAGTGGCTTTCAACCCTAGCCATGTGGTGGGAACTCAGGAGGAACTTTCTAAAAAGATTGACCCTTGGGTCCCACCTCATACCAATCAGAATCTCCGAGAGTGCGAGAGTGGAATTCAGTCACCAAGACGTTTTTAAGCTCCTCAACCTAATGCCAGCTCTAGTGTTTTTAACACTGGTCTTCAGAGATACATTGTGGGAAATAGAGTCCCATGCTAAAAACGAAACAAAAACAAACAAATTTAAATCCCGGATCCTATATTGTACACTGAATCCTTTTCTTAGAAATTAAAAAAAAGGCACAGTGTTCAAGTCTCTAAGAAGTCCTAAAATAAACAAAAGCATCTTTACTTGGATTAACCCTGAACTTTCAAAACTGAAGGACAGATTTTTAAAAGAAAATGTAACACCCAGTAAAATTCCTTGGATGTACATGAAAATCACTCCTCAAGAGACTGGTAAATACCTGGTACCATCCCAGTGGCTTTTTCCAGAATTTACTACTGCAGATTTTATAGAGTTGCTTGAACAGAACAACAAAGTTTCTCAAGTCAAGCAAGGAAAAAACTTGGACAAACCATTACTTAATTTCTGCAAGTTCTTAGTTCCCTGCCTCAAACAGGAATTCCTCTATTTTTATTGTATTGGTTTCATTGTTTTTATTTTGTGGTGTTTTGTTTTATTTTTCCTGAACTGATTATTAGATATTTGGGATTTAACTACCCATGAATCTGCCCAGATACTTTGTTTCACTTCTTCGTGTTTTTAAACAATTATATATCTTATTTCAGATGTTTGACCATAATGGAAAATCATACTTATCACTACTATGCACAGAAATCATTTTGCATTTGTATAGCCCACATTCCTATTTTTGTTCACTAGGATATTTTAACATAACTTTAAATAAAATTTACTTTTCTCCATGTATTTTTCTTTTCTAGTGGACAGTTTCATGAGCATAACATGGGTGGAAAAGTCTATTGCCAGTAACGAATATCTGCAATCAAGTGGACGTCCTCCGCTTACTTTCTTCTCTTTGAATAAATGAAGATTCAGACTTTGCAATTTTAGTGCCATTAAATGCAGTCAGTACTTTTCAATATCGATATACTGAAAATGCTTTTGATGTTCAAATTTAGAAAATGCCAGACTTAAATACTTATTTTCTTATATTTGCTCTTCTGCAGACAGTAGGCGATTTGCCCTTATTTAGGAGTTAAAACATGGACCTAAATAGTGAATAAATGTATACTGCATGTAAAAAGTCTGCCTACATCTCAGACATTCAAGTTTGCTGTTGTATTTTCTCTCCTTCATAAAATGACCTTGCAATCTATAGTTTTCTGCTTAACCTTGTATCTCTTTTTATTTCATTATTTATGAAGGCTTTTGCTTAAACATACGGACTTCGTGCCTTTAAACTGTTCATCAGGGAAAATTTTGAAAAATCATTTGAAGGGCTTATGTGAAGGAACACTGTAAATTTTTATAACTTACTAAGTAATATTTGTAGAAAATTATGAATTTCTCCTAATTTGTTTTCTATTTCTGTGGCTTATAAAATTAATATATGGTGTTTTACATTGCAATAAAGTGGTTTTTTGCTTGCTGAATTTAAAATTATATATTAGTAGTGCCATCAGAGGGCGGTGATGGACTGTTACACAATATCAGATTCAGCTCTAAAGATCTTTGTAGTAACTGAGTGAGTTAAACTAAGAATCCGGATGGGCTATACTGAGTAGTAATATATTTTTCCAAATTTCACAGGTGTTTTTATTCATTAGTATTTATTAAAGAATGATCATAAGATTTGTACAGATGTGAAATTGCCAGTACAAACATGAATGTATGAAATAGAAACATGTCAGTACTGTATTTTAAAAGGTCTACTTTAAGCATAAAGTACTATGAGGTTAATTCTGTGGGATTCAGAGTCATAAACTTTTCACATTTGTTTTTATTAGAAACATGAGTTTATAGCATTTCTGTTTTTTGAGTTTTCCTTTCTTGTGTATAATAAGCGAAAATACAAGAATTTCTTTCTTTTAATTTGTTTGCTCTTTTGGATGACAGGGCCACAATCTGAGCCCTAAATTAGAATTCATAGATAGTAAGTACCAATAGGGATTATAAATTAAATAGACCAGCTCATTTGATCTACAGAAAGAAACTGAGCCGTTATTGTGCTCATCCCTCCCACAAGGCTTACATTATATAGCAGTATATTGTATATGTTAATTTTAAAGAGTTTGAACTATGGTGTCTTTTGACTCTTGTTTGGAAAAATTACTTTTTCTATTATGTATAGAGTAGTTTGTGAATACCCAGTCAAGACATATATTTAAACAGGCTCAATTTTCTTCATCCTTTAGGATATTAGTGATATTTTTGTTCACAAAGGATAGTGAAATCATTAAACTTTATTTTAGAAATAAAATTCTTGACTTTATGAACATGATTAATTTTTCCAAGGCAGAAAGATCCTCAATAGCTGAATAGATATAGAACCAAATCATATTATCCTTGAACTGTGCAAATCCTTCATTCTGCTTTAATATATAAAGAACAATTTTATCTGTACTACCTTAAGAATTACAACTTGGGTTGGTGTAAACAAAGGTTTATATCCAGGGGATAATGCCCTATTTCTAATAGAGTTTATATCTAAATAGCATGCTTATTTACTTTTGAACCATGAATGTATGTTGGTGTATTGCCTTCTGGGAACAATGGGATATGCTGCTCTAGCCAGTCATGCATGGCCTGCTTCCGTGGGTTTAATCTGCGTTCCCCAAAACCACAAGGGATGCATCGGCTAAGGCGTGATACTAAAATGCTAAGAATAGTTTTAGGAAGGGGAAGGGAAGAGAGGAGATGAGATGCTTGATAGAAAACCAATCAGTGACTACTAAAAAAAAAAATAATAATTGTACATATACATCCAAGCATCTCCCTCATCAAGTTATGAATCAGTTCCTGATGGGAACCTTAACTTGGAGCCAATTTCCCATAAATCATCATTTAAATAGGAAAATATAGTATAATACTTAATATGTGACCCAAACCCTCAAAAAATTACTAAAATATAACTGAAACAGCAAAATGCATATATGTTAACTATCATGTTCAGATGTAAAATGCTAAAACTATGGCTTCTTAATTCTAATCATCATGCTAACATGAGTGGTAACAAAAAGCTGTATATCATCACACAGCCCCTTTGTTGACATGCTGCATGTTGTTTTAAAACATCTATACGTGCTACTATGGTTCCACCGATTGTATTTGGAATGCAATTAATAGTTTTCACACACATGGTTTGTTGTAAATTCTGTATTGCCTTATGCGGACACAAATATACATTTTTCCTATATAGAAATTGACTTTGGCTGTCTCTTTAACAAGTTTTTTTTGTTTTTCTTTTTAAAGATTTTATTTATTTATTTGACAGAGATCGATCACAAGTAGGCAGAGAGGCAGGCAGAGAGAGGGGGAATCAGGCTCCCCGCTGAATAGAAATCCCAATGCAGGGCTCGATCCTAGGACCCTGGGATCATGACCCGAGCCAAAGGCAGAGGTTCTAACCCACTGAGCCACCCAGGTTCCCTCTTTCACAAGTTTTATCTTCACTACGTATTAAATAATTAGAAGTTAGGTGAATGGTTGGGAAACCATGACACTCCTCTCTTTGGGATGAATGAGAACAACAAGAGCTAATGGCTGTTTGGTATGTTCATAAAATCCCTGAATTTATAGCTAGGCATGGTTCTTTTTCTATACTCGAAAGGAGAGATGATATTGTTAGCTTCCTGTTTTCATAGACAAATAGCAAAATAATACAAAGTTTCTAACTTTCCTCCTTGGTACCCCAGGAGAATTGACATCAGCTTTGAATTTTCCTTTTCTCCTCCAACAGTTCGATGTGTTTATCTTTGCTAAGAATTATTCTACGCCCTTAGAAGAAAAAGTAACTTGTCAGTTTTAGTTTTGAGTAATATCTGAGTAAATAGGTCAGTAAGAGAGAGGTAGGTAGCTAGGCATCTCTGTGTTGACATTTAAGGTGTGCGGTGTTTTTTTTTAACATTTTCAAACAAGCATTTCAGATCCCCATGACTATCACATGTGCTTTAAGTTGATGCAAATGTGGCTCCATAGCCATTTTCTTTGATTTTCTCGAAAGCCGCTTAGAAGGCATTTGTATATTTCACAAACTTTGAACAAGTTTTGGGTTGATTCAGAGAAGTTTGTTCCAACAACTCAAACAGTTTAAATTTCTCATATGACATAACTTTTTTATTATCCTGTTCTCCTTGTTCTAGATATGTCTCATTTTGCAAATATTGCCTCTAAATATGGTTATTATGGCCTGAGAACTGAAAATTCATAAATTACTTGACCTGGATATTATACTTTATTATATCTTTGATCACACTGCCTATTCTTTTTTTTTTTTTTAAAGATTTTATTTATTTATTTGTCAGAGAGAGAGAGAGGGAGAGCACAAGCAGGCAGAGCGGCAGGCAGAGGCAGAGAGAGAAGCAGGCTCCCCACTGAGCAAGGAGCCCGATGCGGGACTCGATCCCAGGACCCTGGGATCATGACCTGAGCTGAAGGCAGCGGCTTAACCAACTGAGCCACCCAGGCGCCCACACTGCCTATTCTTATAGCACCATACTTAAGTTTCAAATTAATCTCCTCTTAGTTACAGACAGGTTTGAGCCCATTTTTGCAAGTACTTCAAATATAATCTCAAATGGACCTAATTAGTTTTGCACACAGATTGACTCTTTCTAAGCTCTTTTTCTGAAATCGGTTTTGTCACATCAGTCAGAAATCAAGTTATCCTAACTCCTTACTCTATACCTACTTCCTAAGATGTTACTTTCTCATTCTACATTTCTCAGATAGCTAGGGTATAAGTAACAGACATACTTAAAATAGGTTAAAAAATACCAAGCATCTCATGCAGACAATCCTTAAATATATACACACAAACTTGTAGAACTAAGAAGTTTAGAAAGGTTCCAGAATACTAAACCAATATATGAAAATGTCATTTCTATTTCTATGTGCAAGTAATAAATAATCTGAAAATTAAGAAATAATTTCAATGATAGTATCATCACTTAGAAGAAAATACTTGGGAAAAAGAAGTAAAAGATTTGAACTAAAACCTATAAAACACAGTTGAGAAGTTAGAAAAAAAATCTAAATGGTTGACACCATTGCATATTTATGGCAAAAGGTATTTTGCAAATGTAATTCAGTTAATGCCCTTAAAATGGGGAGATTATATTGTATTATCTAGATGGATCAAATCTAATCACATAGATCCTTAAAAGCAGAAAATCTTTCCAACCTGTGGTTCCAAAGAGATGTGAATAAAGAAGTATCATTGAGATACTATATTGCTGGCTTTGAAGACAGAGGAAAGACATGAGCCAAGGAAATCAGGCAGCCTCTAGAAAGCGGAAAAAAGCAAACGGATTCTCTCCTAGGCCCCTGCTGACACCTTGATTTTAGCCCAGTCACACCATCTCAAATTTCTGACCTATGAAACTATAACAATAAATTTGTATTGTTTAAGCCACTAAGTTTCTGGTAATTTGGTACATTAGCATAGAAAACAAAATAAATGATTTTTTAACCTATACATTTTTAAACTAAATTAATGAAATTAATTTTAATTCTTAAAGATATAGATATAGGGGCGCCTGGGTGGCTCAGTGGATTGAAGCCTCTGCCTTCAGCTCAGGTCATGATCCCAGGATCCTGGGATTGAGCCCCACATTGGGCTCTCTGCTCAGCGGGGAGCCTGCTTCCCCACCCCACACCCCACCCCCGCCTGCCTCTCTGCCTACTTGATCTCTGTCAAATAAATAAAATCTAAAAAAAAAAAAGACATAGATATATTTATGGAAAAAGGTAAGCACTGGAGAAAGTTTTGATGAAAACACTATTGTAGATACAGAGAAATTCAATGCTCATATTAGTTTAGGAACATAAAAATCAAATCACTCAATGTATTTTAAAATATACTACAATTATTACTGTTTCAAGGTGATTTTATTTCTGACAAAACTTTAATTTTTTTTCCCCCAGAACGATTACCACCACTTCCAGTACCACCAAATTATACAATGCCTATTGTTTAAAAACTTCACAAATAACAGGTTGTATAAACTTTGACTAAATCAGTCATGTGACACACTGAGACGCTTCCTCCCTGACTTTCTGGAGCGAGAAAGGTGGATTTTTTGTTGTTGTTGAAAAATGAGGAAATGACAAATGAATTCTGCCTATACTTAAGATACTCAGGATAGCACTTAAGGGATTACCTATGATAATATCTAGGTTATCTGCTGAGGGGAACAAACAATGCCACCACCCAGCTGCCCAAAGTGAAGAAGCACTAGCTAACCCTAATTTGACCCTTCCTAGAACTCTCAGGGAAAGTCGCCACTTGAAGATAATCTTTATTTCAGAATGAAGCATCGATATAGAGACAGATAATTTTTTTTAATTTATCTTTTTAATTCTTGAATCAGTGAGGACAATAGTTTGCTGCTTATGGGTACAAAACAGCCCTGTCCTAGGTATACAAGGGTATACATAAGTCTGTAACAACATCAGCTACAGTGTATTTACTTTACTAGATAGCATAGCAAAGTAGGATTAACTAAAGATATATTTTCATAAGAAAATGCTTTAAAATAACATGAAGTCAATGAACACTTGACTGTACAATTTACTGTCAAAATATAAACGTATGTCAGCTTATGTGTGTGAATTACACTAAGTCAGTCTCAACACCACCATGTACTTAGGAATGTATGAAATACTTCATAAGCAATTCTCTAAAGGGTGTACTGAAAACTTCCAAAAGTACCCCAGATATTTGGTCATAGATAAGGAATAAACTTTAAGGCAATCTTCCAAGCGAATGTAAACTTTTCTGAAGTGGCCTTTCCAGTAAAGTATTACTGTTGTGAACGCTCTGCACTTATTTATGGTGCGGTTGAAGATTTTTTAGTACATATTATCACACTAATTGTCACCTTTTTAAAAATTAGCTTAAAAATCCTGCAATTATAAAAGTGTCTGGGGTGCTTTTTGTAGCCATAAGGCAGGCACTTCCTGTTGACTGATCTAGAAATCCTAAATATTTTCTTCTAAGAGCAGTTTTTTATCTCTAGCTAGGATTGTATTTCTAACATGTACTAAATACTGTGTTCACATACTGAAAAATAATAATTTGCCTACACTTTTTCTAATTTAAATCTGAGTTTAGAATTTAATTGGTTGTTTTCTACAGAAGCAACAAAATAAATAGTGCTACTCTCTGAACATTTTTCAATAGTAATGACATTTTTCTGTCTGTTACGTCTTTTTTCAAAGTAATTTTCAGAGCGTGTGGACTAAACTGACTACACTGGAGAAGTGGGTACAGGCCATTATGAGAGTCCCCTTATAGTGACCAACTAGTTTCATTTAATCTCCTTTTTAGCCTTATAATTGGCAGAGACCACCAGGTAATTATCTGGATTCATGTCCTTAAGGGTTGGAGATTTGCTCTGGATGGGGGATGTTTTGCCATCAACACGGGAGATCTGCAGCATCCGGCAGGGGTCATGTTTCAACAAATACCCTGCAAAAGTTTCCCATCCTCCTCCCACACGGACCATGACATGTTTGTTGTGCAGCATCTGAAATGAAAGAAGAGCAAAAGGATTACATTCTGAGAATTCTTACAGTATCTCAAATCCACCTTCATTTCTACCCCTGTTACTGTTTTTTGTCTGTCTTGTTTTTCATGCCCCATTGTTTTCCTACTTGGTGCCCAGCATCTGAGTTAACATACAGTTTGTGAAAGAGGCTTTCTCTTTCCCATGTAAGTGGATCACGGGCACACATGCCCAGGATCCAGCGTCACCCTGCTATGGGAATCTAAGGGATCTATGTATAACCCCTTGTTTGGTTGAATGTGTCTGGAAAGTTTTCTCTGATGTTCCATTATAGACTCATCACTGCCCCCATTTTCTGCCCTTTGCCTCAGTTAAGTGCTACATTCTTCTCACCACATTATTCCCCTCTGAACCAGGACCCAAAAGACCATGGAAATGTCTGCCATTGACTATCATGTGAATAGTCACACAAATACTCAATATGAAATAGAAAGGAAAAGTACCCCCCAAAAACTGAAGTCTTCTCCAGGCACTGAGCCCTTCAAGGCCAGACGTTGTTGAATGGCCATTTGCTTCCCTTTACTCTTTTCTTTCTTTCTTTCTTTCTTTTTTTTTCCTAATTACTTAAAAGAATAACTCACCTTCCAGGCCCATGGGCCATCTAGAGTTCCAGATTAACAAGGCTGCCGGTTAAAAAAGTGAAGAATATATGGTTCTTTTGATCTAGTAAAACCATGTCAGAGCTGCACAGGTTTGGCACGGAGAGCCAAAGAATTTGATCTTGGCTTCTTTCAAATATCAGAAAATGTAAGGTTAAGGGGAGATGTTCCTCCATCATCAAAGACCCTGCTGACTCTGTTCCCTGCCCGCAAAGCAATATAATCTTGGGAAGGACATATAGTGATGCGTGAGGGAATTTGAGAAATCATTTTCATCACAGAAGCTATCAAATCTACTTGAATTTCTCTTGCTGTGCCAGTTTAAGATCTGGAGTTTTTTTTTTTTTTTTTTTTTTCTTCCCATCAAGTGGAAGATGATTTTTGCTTACTGCTTTCATTTACTTGTTGAGAATCTGATGGAAGTTCTGGACTCTTTTTGAATCCCTGTATCCACAAAAATCTGCACGTGTGTTTAGGGGCTTTGCAGACACCCAGAAATCCACCCATGGACTCAAGATAAATCCTGATGCATGTGGTTGATGTGAAGAAGTTTCAGATGTTGTGCAAAGTAACAATGTGCTGGATATCAATAAAAATGGAGACTCATGAAAAAGATGAAGTGAAATTTTACTCTATTGGTTATTCTCATTTAGAGACTAAGAACCATAATTAGAATAGAATTAGAATAAAGGACCTTCAGAAACATCTAGATAGAAGTTTTTAAACTTATTTTGACATCAGGATCTACTTGTTAAACAAAATCTCAACAGGAAACCCTGTCGTATGAAGCAGGCAAAAGGAGTCAAGATTCAGCTGTATCTCTTTCGCCTCCCCTGGTCCTGCCAATAATACCATGATCTTGTTTTCCAGATGAAGATCCTGAGACCCAGATCTTTGGTGTGATTTGCTGAGACTAGTGCCCAGATTTCCTGACTCCAGTCTAATACTTGCCCCACAACAGTTCTTCTTTGTAAAGCAAAATCCATCAAGGCTTTTTATAATTGGACTGACCCATTTCCATTCCCACAAGCTTCTGTGTGTGTCTCTACTGCTTGCTTCCAAAACTTGGAGTTACTGGGACAAAAATTGCAAAGGCGGGCATCCAAACAGTATTCTGACCCTTTCTCCCACTGTTCTAGAAAACAGTTTTGCCTATTGTTGATGTTCTGGCACTTCCTAGCCCTGCAAATTACATTTAAGAGTTGTCGTTAAGCTTCCTAGCTATGAATGCCTGGCAAAATGCCCAAATTCGCCTGACTATGAGCCGACTATTTCAACCAGAAGGAACCACCAGTCCGTACAATTTTTAGATAATTAGCTAACTCTGGAAAACAGTGAAAAGAAATGTTCTTCTGCCTGGCATATATGATCATTGAGATACAAACCCTTCTTGCAGATTCTTTAATGAATCCACGTGTGCAAAGTGGATCCAACATGAAACTGTTCTGCAGAATGTGAAGAACATAGGAATTAAATTTTTGCCCACCTCATCTTCCATATCCTTTCAATAGTTAAGCAGTAACCTATAATTCTCTAAGAAGGTCAGTGGTCAAACTGGACAACAGTTTCAAGCATGGGATTAAGATTTCATGGCCATAAGCACTTACACCCTTGATGGCAGAGATTTAAATTCCATGCCTTATCTTAGTATGTGCTAAGTCTCAAGAAAAAAAAATAATAATAACGCCCATCCCCATCTCCACAAACTAAACCCCTACTATTTTAACCTAATAACAAATTAACCTGCTATAAACCACACTATTCTCAACTCTTCCCTCCCACCCCCCACAGTGCTTACTCTACAAAACCCCAGCCTTGAATTAAATGTAAAATCTTCTAAATCACAGTAGAGAAGTTGAACTCCTGCTGGAAGAACTCTTTCATCTCAGGGATTAGTGACGTTAGGCCAGTTGTAATTAATTGATCCTTTTGGTTTGGTTAGCTCAATTTCTTATTCCTCCCTATTATTCTCAAACACACTACTCATCTCTGTCCTTCTTATTCTACTGATGGCTTCACCATCATCAGGCATGGCTTCCTCTCTCAGCACCTCCACTGGCTAATTTACTCCAATCTATATTTATCCTTTTCTCCACTTTCCTCATCAAGAAGTCCTCCTGTCCAAAGTCAGCTCCTCCCCATATGTCTTAATTCCCATTACCACCATGCAGAAGATCCTGAATCAAACATCACATCTCTCTTCTCTCTCTCCAACTTACTGTACCCTTAGCCTTCAGGGGATAAACATACCCAAGCCTCTCTCACTCTTGTACAAAGCAAAACTCTGCTCCCTCCATACCAGGCTTCTTTGTTCTCGAACGTTTTCCTTATAACTGAGCTTTCTGGTAAGCTTACACATGATGTCTTTGCTTCCACCTTCCTGTTAATTAGTTAATTCTTCCCCCACCTGTTTACTGACTAAACTTTGAAGGGAATCAGATGACTTCTTGAATTGTCAAATTCAATGGATGGTTCTTTCATCTTTCATGATCACTCAGGTAAGGTATCTGATTAGTACTGACCAATCCTTCCCTACTGCTTTATTCTCTAGGACAAGACTCTCTCTCCTGCACCTCCTCCTACCTCTCTCCTTAAACTTTCTCTGTCTCTTTCACAGGTGCTATTTCTTCTGCCTACTTTTAAGCTTTGTTGTTGCAAATGATTCTGAAGGATTCTGTCATTTCTCCACTGCTTTTCTCACTCTGACCACTCTATATCTGGAACCTCACGGTTTTCTCTACTATCTACTTTTATCTCTCAAATTATAATTCTGGCCTTTGCCTCTTCCCTGAGCTTCCAAATGCAAGGGCATAATGAGCCCACCACCTTCTCCCTTCAATTAGAAGGCTCCACAGGCTTTTCCTAAAAGAGTCAATAGGATGGGCATTCTATGTAACTAGTCAGACACCAAAAACATTCATTTATCCCCCAAATGATTCTCAGGGTCTATGTTATTGTTACTGTTATTCATTTCAGTACCTCATCCTTTTCCATGGGCCACTGTAAGAATCTCACTGCCTCGAGCCTTGCTGAGTCTGGTTTAGTAAATCCATTCCCACCGAAGGGAGTTCCGCAAGTGCCTGTTGGATTGTCTCCTGCCTAAATGCCTTCAATAGCTCCCTCTCCCCTACAGGCTAATATTCAGTTCCCTTTACACCAAGACCACTCCTGCCGGCCTCACCTGCCCTTCCTTGAGCTCTGGGACCCATGAATTATTTTAGTTCTATGTTCCCAGATGGCACAGCCTTTCTTTCATGCTTTTGCATATTTGTCCCTAAATGTGGAATGTCTTTTCTGCTTTGCTGTCCCTACTTACCAGGACCACAAACATTAATTCAAACATCACCTCTGCCTGAAAAATTCTTCACCATCTCCTTCCTTACCAGATAAGCGAATGCTTCCTTCCTGTATGCTCTTTAGGTTGCCCGCGATTCATTGTTTCAGTCTACGGTAACTGTCAATTTACCTGCGTGCCTCTTTTTAATAACGTGTGCACTCGGGCGCCTGGGTACCTCAGTGGGTTAGGCCTCCACCTTCAGCTCAGGTCATGGTCTCAGGGTCCTGGAATCCAGGCCCACATCAGGCTCTCTGCTCAGCAGGGAGCCTGTTTCCCCCCTCTCTTTGCCTGTCTCTATGCCTACTTGTGATCTCTGTCTGTCAAATAAATAAATAAAATCTTTAAAAATAAATAATGTGTGAGCTCTCCAGAGAGAGTGATGATGCATCTCATTTCTTAAATTTCCCATATACAAGCTCAGAACAGTATCAATATCGTTATCGTATTAATACTCTTTTCCGTGTATGCTTCCATAGGCTCTACTTAACTTTGCTTAGCTGATGATGTCATTTTCAGAATTATTCCATTTTAAAGATGGGAAAACTGATGCTTTTAGAAGAAGGACTGATGTCCTCAAGCCACCTGTGCATGATCACACCACAAATCAATGGCAGAGCTGAATAAGAATTATTTTCTCCCATTAGGTCACACCCACTGATTCTATAAAATATGTGCTTAGTTACTTGCTAGTGAAATTTAGCACAGGCAAGGAACTGTCAATGTCAGAAACAGTAATCAGCAGCTTAAGCAAATTAAATGCCCATGTAAAATGATTTACGGTGCTATGTTCTAATAAACCCCATGTAAACATCGAATTTCATTTCAGAAGTTTATCTTGCAATGGTCCTATAATTACTTCAGAAATAAACTTGTGTCAAGCGCAGGTAATAGGATCGAATATATTTATAGGCAGATAGCTGTCAGTGCAAGCAGGACTAGGCTTTGATAGTCTGTTCAGTTACAGTGCCTTTATTTTCTGTGTTTCACAACACTCAGTAGTTTTGCATTCTCCATTCCAAAAGATG